AAGAGAGTGATTCATACACAAAATGCTCACTGCAGAGCCGGACCCAAGCACAGATATGCCACCCTGACCACTTCTTCTGGTTTGGAACCAGTGTTATCCAGCTGCTTCCTCCAGCTCAGAAACTCAACTGGAAGAAATCCTTTCTCCCTGGAAAAGAGTACCTTCTGCCCACCCCCAGCAATGACATGAGGTGGTATAGAATAACTCCAGGTCCTGGCCATGCCCACTGCTGTCTACTGCAAAAAATTAACCTTGTCCTGGCCAGAACAAGGACAATTTGAAAATACATCAGCTTAAATCACTCCCCACAAAAACACCAAAGACAGAAAGAGACAGAGAAAAGGATCACAGTTTCCACCTCCCTGCACTTTCTGAGCTTAACAGAGATTTGTTGACATACTCCAAGGCAGGATTAGAAGAAACAGCACAGGAAAGAGAAGGCAGTCAGAAGGATCATGGTTCAGCTTTGTTTAAACGAATTCCACACACCCCTCAACTATTAGCTGTTTTTTATTTCCTGTTCCAGAGATTTGTGGAAAAAATAATCTCGCTAGGGAAAAGCTGCACTTATTTTCTTCCAGCAAGATGCTGTGTTAGCAAATACAACACATGAGCCACCTCGAGTAAACCAAGGTTCTTAATAATCCATTTTTAAAACACTACCGGTATTTCCTTTCTATAGAAAGATGAGCTGTGACTGGAATCAATTTCATTGTTTGCGTGACTACAGTTGCCAAGTTTCTGAAAATAATTGTCATTTAAATAGTAGATAATATTTGTTATACAGAGCTAACAGTAACTTTATTACTATTTCATTTGCATTATTTGTTTGTTTGCAGTAGGCTTAAGGTATCTGAAAAGCAAGATGTTTGCTAGGGGATGGTTTTAAGCACAAACTGTGAAAGCAAAATGAAATTGATGTTGATAGTCTGACTTGAATTTAAAGAAGGGAAAGAACCCAAAGTACAGACAGACCATGTCTTCCTCCTCTTTCATAGAAAATTGTAGATTTAAGATTGATATGCTGTTTGGCCAATAGTAATACTTAACATTTACATACTGATTTTCAGCCATAACCATATTTTACATTTGGTGAAACCGAAGCAAAACAAAGTAAATGACTCACTCTAGACTATGTGGAGCTAATTCACATGAAAACCTGAATACAACCCATATTGTGAGAGTCTCTTTATTCAGCAGACTGTGCTTCCAATTCCATGACCAAAAAAGCGTGATTTAGGTAAGGATTATATCTCTAACATCAAACCTCTCTCATCGTCAAGTGAAAATGAATATACAAAATAAACATTTCAAAAGACTGGGAAAACAGGAAAAACAAACAAGCCAGACTCAAAAGTAAACTCTGATAAAGGTAACGGATTTAAGCCAGGGGAAAAAGCAAAACTTTAAGTTAAAAGAATAAAACTCTGAACATTTTATGGTGGATAACTGTCCTAGTAATAACTGCTTGTTTAGAGACAAAGGCACAGATCATAAAAACAAAGTAATAGGAGAGTTCCAAGAATAGAAGTAAATGTTGAAATTTTTCAAGAGGCTGTCTGGGAAAAGGACTTCATATGGACCTCCCAAAAATAACCCTCATTGCCCAAGCTGGTATGATAGAGCCCCTCTGCACAAACCACAGGAACCAAGGCAAAGCGAGACTAACTTGGGATAGGTAGAGAGAGAGGATACAAAGTCACCACTGAGAGCAAGCACACCATTTTGGTATGCTGTAATTGCAATGTCCCGTCACTTGGCCACCAGAAGACACATGAACTCTTCTTAGCTTGTGTCATACTGCACTACCTGTAGCCACAAAAGCATAGCCCTGCTGTTATCACTGAGGAATCCCTCTAATCACCCCTTGACTTTTAGTAACAAGCCTATAAATCTCTATTGTTGAACAGAAGAATACTACTTCCATGAGGAAACTCTTCAGATTTTTTCATCTAATAACTGGTGTCCAAAGTAGAGCCCATGAAAAGGCACCCATGTCATCCCCTAGCATGACACTCAGCTATGCACAGAACTGCAGTACCCTGGGAGACCTTTTCTGCTAAAATAAATCCAGAAGTGTCAGTAGGAAACACATTAGTCCTTTACTGGTAGGAGTCATTAGTACGTCCCAGGAAAAGCATGCAGACAGAGACTATAGAATACTGGCCTATGGTCTCGTCACTGCTCAAAACCCCACCTCAGCAATTACCTCTTAAGACTCTAACCACTGCTTTCTGGCCAGCTCACTAACAGGAAGGTAGTAAATTGTGGTGCTTTAAAATCAGCTAGGAATTAAACTCCAAAGAAACTGCTCCCTTTCGTCCCACTCCCTCTAGTGAGAGAGGGACAAAGGCA